ACAGACTAGAAAAGTTTGATTAATGCTCTGGTAGAAATGCCAAAGTGTAATTGGTCACTTAACAACCCGGACTGGGCATTTTTAGAGAAACAGTTTGAACCATTCGCAGTTCTTTGCTAATTTGTCTGATCAAAGTGCTGTGATGTTTACTACTTCCACTACCAATCATGTTTGCAAAATTATCTCATTAACAACTGAACGTACACCGATACGTCGGTATCCTTGGCCATTTGATTCCTGCGTTAACAGATAAAATTACTAATTAATTTGTAGCTAAATTAGTTAAAACAAATGCAAAATCGATTTGCTTCAGTGGGGGCAACTAGATTTCAGGAATTTGAGTGTTTTAGTTAGGAAATAGTTAGGAATTATTCAAAAGTCACTGTTCTGGTTCTTTTATTCAACGTAACATGCAACTCGTATTTATGATGAATTAAATAGATTCTCAGAATCTCGAAATCTGGTTTTCGCTTTTCAGAGAGATATTTAAGTTGGCGGATGAACGCACACAAACAGTTGCACAATATGTGCTACCCAAATAATCGCTGTGATGAAGCGCAAATTGCAGGAAATGTCCAATTGTTCAGCACATTTTACATCTCCGCTCTCCTTAATGATGGCGTACATTTGATGCGAATAAAGAAATAAAGAAATGGAAAGGGACGGTTCGTTAAAAACTAACTTATTTTTTTCAAAAAAAGAGTGCGACAAAGTTACAATTATAGTAAACCTGCTCCTTTCCTTTTGCGCCATATGCACTTTCTCTTTTAATTATGACTTTTGATGGTGATCAGAATTTTGAAATGACAGAGTACTATTGGTTGAACATTAAAAGTTCTAATCGCCAAGTCATAATGACTAAAGAAACTGCTTAATTTTGGTCTGAGCAATTATGATGGAATTAGGAGAAAAAAAGTCATGATTAGCCATTCTTCTCGTGATGTTCCTGTGATAAAAGTCCAACAAATAAGTGTTGCTGAGAAGATTAAAATTCATTTCTTTCTGAATTTTCATTCACCTACCAGTGACATTTTACTCTTTCATAACATTTATTTTTCTAGAAATAAGGTCATCCAGACTCAGTACGTCCTTCTTTTGCTCTTCCTACAAACGACTAATTTTATCATTTATTGATTCAATTGTCAGTTAAATTAATCTTACATTTGCGAGGTTTTGTTCGGATCAAAATTAGCCAATAATTACTACATTTTGTTGATTAACATTCTTATTGCAAACTGTGACAAAGTCTCCGATGACTTCGGTGAGGATAATTTGTGACGCATAGATTTCTGATCTATTTTTAGCATTGATTGGATTCACAATTTATTCAATAGCTTGCTATAAAACATGAAATCAAACAAAGCTTTGCACAGTTTTTTGAAATTAAAAGTCTGCACACTGATACAAAGGCAAAGGTTTGGAGAAAACAAAACAATTATCCATAATAATAATAATAATAATAGTAATAGGAATAGGGCCAGTAACCACCATATGTTCCGTATGGATAATAATACCCATATTGAGACAGAGATGGGAAGCCCGCACTAGACATTGACCTTTGAGAAAAACCCCTAAAGAATTGTTCCAAAAGCTGCAACAATGGATTAGAAGTAGTTTGTGGAGCTTGAGTAGTAGTTTGATCTTCTCTTCGATCACGTAATTCAACACTGAATCTCTGTATTGCGTTAGCATTGTTGTTCAGCGACTTAAATATAAAATAAAATTTCTACTAAGTTGTTGTTTAAATGAGCACTAATGCTTACAGTGTTATTACAGTATGTGACACTTCACGGTTTGAAACTAATAAGAGATATGAAACTTACGTCTCTGTCTATTAAATTGCTGAGGAAGGACATAAGTGTTTGTGCACCTCCTTGTGCATCTGTTTCAGCAATTGATAATATTGTACTGAAAATGAAAGAGAACATTAGCAAATATGTATACTGAATGAATGATATGATAAGAACAAATAATTTAACTTACATTATTGTCAAAACAATCAAATATTTGGTGATAACGAATGGCAACATAATAAGCAATCCAAAATTCCTGCAAATATGATTAGCACTGTACAAATGGTAGTATTGCAAGAAAGGTTACGTTTTCGCTTCATTAACCGTTGAAGGAAATATCTGTAAATGTCGGAAGATGAGTCTGCTCAATTAATAATCCTGATGCCATGAATGAACTTCATGGACTTGTTTGTTCTGATGTCACGAATGACAGCAAGTTGTCGGAGTTGTTAAGCTTC